GGCCTTATGGCATTGAGTGTCCAGGGAGATGGCTCAGTAGAATAAGCACTTCCCTGGCAAGTGCAAGGGCCTGAGTTCAATCCCTGCTTACAGAAAAAAAAAAAAAAAAAAAAAAAAAAAAAAGCAGCAGTGATACCTATGTGGGGTGTTCTAGGAATGAATGAGGTTGGTGGCCCATGTTAGCTCTTTTATTGCTGGTTTCACTGGCACATGCCTGTAACCCCAGCATTTTGAAAGACTGAGGTAGGGGGCTCTTAAGTTGGAGTCCAGTGTAGGGAAACTCAATGACTTAGCAAGACCTCTGTACCTCTGTGAGGGCCTGGATTTAATTCCCAGTTTGAAAAAGTGTGTAGAGCTGTTTCCCAGGGCCAAGTGTTCAGGAGTGCTCATGAAAGTCCCGGCACAACACCTGTTGTGTGCCAGGCAGGAGCCGGACACCAGGTGGCTTCCGCCAGCCCTCCCGGTTTGTCTGGAAGGCAGGTACGTTTGTTCCCATTACTCAGCATGGGCGCAGGCTGAGTCAGAAGAGCGGCTGAAGCGGACAACTGCCTGCCAGACCCAGAGTTCCCTCCCGCTCGCTTCCCGCCGCCGGCTCCCGCCTGGCCCCGCCCCGATGGTCCCGCCCCCTGATGGCTCCGCCCCAGGCGGAGCCGGCGCCCAGAGAGGTGGCCCGAGAGCAGGCAGCGGGACCGGCGCGGGAGGCAGCAACCGGGCGGGAGCCCCGGAGGTATTGGCGGGAGCAGGGGTCGGGAGGCAACGGGGACGGCCAGACCATACAAGGTGGCCTGGCTGTGGGGCTGTGGGTCGGGGCACGAAGTTCTTGGCACCTTTGCCTACGCGCTCCAGTCTACCTCTGGCTCCAGCACAGCCCGGGAGTCAGCATGACCAGTTTTCTGCCTCCAGCGGACAGCTACTACTCCCTTTGCTTAACGGCCTCACTCGGCCCGAGCCAGTGAGTGGACTCAGTGGCTCCCACTTGCTCTCACCAGCTCGACCAATTGTTCCTGCTGTGCAGTGCATGGTCTCCCCCTATCCTGGGTTCCTCTTTGCTGGTGGCCTCCTTTCCAGCCTTTGCACACCGTCCCTCAGCCTCAGGCCTGGAGTGGGAGGAAACATCTGTCGTGTCCCCTGGCAGCAGAAATGGGGTCATGACCTCCAGATGTGTTGGGAATCTTCCAGCGCCTCCTCTTGGGGCAGCCAGGCCTTCCGGATCTATGGGGGCGGGGCTGCCCCTTCCCCCTCAGTGACATAGGCTGCAAGGAATGTCCTGGCCTCAATGGACCCTGTGTAAAGCAGTGGAATGGGGGGCAGAGCCTTAGAACACCTCCCTAAGGCAAGACAAAGCCAGGCACTGAGCCAGAGTCCATGGACTGGGCAGCATACGTTCACCCATATACAGAGCTTAGCCCATGTGGATCAGAGTCCCACACAGACCCTTCCCTTCTGCTCGCTCTCACTCCTACACCCCAGTCCAGCTCCAGGTTATGTCAGCAAGCCTAGAGCATGGCATGGGGATCCTGTGTCTCCCGTGCACATAGATGGCCAGCTTCAGTCTCCCAGCAGCCCTGGGAGAGGACTGGAATAATTAACCCCTTTTTAGGGATGAGAAAAGTGGCTCAAGGTCAACATCAGACCTCCTTCTAGGACAACATAGGAAGCCCCTGAGCTTTGGAGGCATGTGCTTGTTTGGTTCCTGAGGCGCAGCTAAGGGCTGTGTGGAGCCCCTCCTCCTACACTATGCCAAGACCCACCAGTAGCTGCCTGCACCCCCAGTAATGGTTCTCAGACCCCTGCCCTGACTGCCCCCTCTGTGAAGGGTTACCTAGAGTAGTTCTCCCTCATGTTCTCACACCACCTTTTACACCTACATCTGGTCTCGCCACATTTCTGTTCTCAGCAGGTCCCTGGGGCCTTGGGTGTCTGAGTCTTACATCCTGTGAGACCGTGAAGCTCAGCCCAGCCCAGCCCCCACTGCCCCCACACCTCTCAATACAGGGTAGCCAGGAACAGGAGTGAACAGGTGCAGTTCTGTTAAGGCCCTAGAGGTTGATGGGCCTAGGTTCAGAACCTACCTCTAACGTGGAATTGCTTCAGCCAAAAGTATCACTTTTTAGGACCTGAGTTTGACCTGTCACAGGGGGTTCAGAAGTCTCTGTCTACATTAGTGAGACCAGGTAGACAGAAGTCCCCATGGATCCCAGTTCCAGCAAAGGGACCCAGTCAGCACAACTCCCTGTCTTCTCCAGACCTGACATAGTAACCTGCAAGTGGGTAGGTCCAGGTCTGTCCTCTGTCCTCTGTCCTCAGGCCTCAAGTGACTTGGGTCCCATGACTGAGTTGGTGTGATCCTAGCATCTACCTCAGGATGTGGGGGCTAGGCTGGGGGCTGGGCCAAGTTGGGGCCATTTCCTGTGTTGAAGGAAGTCTTTCCATTCCTATTGCCCTGAAGCCACCCCTGAGAGCTTATGGTATTGGAGCTGTAGAAGCCCAGGGCGTTGCCAGCAGGCCTCTGGGTGCTCAGCTCCTCTGGGACCTGGGAGGAAGTGGGAAGTGCAGGGAGGAAGGTCTCTGGGGACAGGACGTCCTCCCTTTGTCATTTGGGCAGGACCCAGACAACAGTGGTCCCAGGGGTTTCCCGTCTCAGCCAAAAAAAATTATCTGTGTGATTGAGCCAGGCTTTGGTGGAGACCCTCATTCTGGGCCCAAAACCACACCCAAGATATCAGAATGGGAACTGGAGGACCTGGACAGGCCCAGGCCTTAGAACCCTCAGAGCCAGAGCCCCATATCCAGTCTCTGACCCTGGTGAAACCAAGCCGGGGAGGGGGCTGGAAACCTCAGCCCTAAGCAGACAAGGAAGTGGCCAGGAAAGCGGAAGCAGCTTTGATGGTCTCAGAGGGGGCCGGAAGCCAACCGGGTGGTGGAGGACCAGGCTGGGGGCCTGGGTTCCTGTTTTCTCCTCAGGTCCCTCTGAGCAGCCCCCTCCTCCTTCAGGACAGGAACCACTGCCACAACCTCAGCCTACCGGCTGGTCACCAAACACCCACATCTGCCAATGTGGCCCGGCCTCCAGAGAGCCAGGCCCACAGAGCATGCCCATGTGGGCTGGTGGTGTGGGGAGCCCTCGGCGGGGCATGGCCCCTGCGTCCACTGATGACCTCTTCGCCCGCAAGCTGCGCCAACCTGCCCGGCCCCCACTGACACCACACACCTTTGAGCCAAGGCCAGCCCGGAGCCCGCTTCTCCGCAGTGGCAGTGATGCAGGGGAGGCCCGGCCCTCCACCCCAGCCAGTCCTCGAGCCCGAGCCCACAGCCACGAGGATGCCAGCCGTCCCGTTGCAGCCCCCACCCGACTCTTCACTGATCCTCTGGCTTTGCTGGGGCTACCTGCAGAGGAGCCAGAGCCCATCTTCCCTCCAGTGCTGGAGCCCCGGTGGTTTGCTCACTACGACGTGCAGAGCCTGCTCTTTGATTGGGCTCCACAACCACGAGGGACACGTGGACACATGGAGGCCAGCTCTGCAACTCCAGCCTCAGCTGAGGACCAGGCTGCCAGTTCAGATCTGTTGCTGGCAGCACCTGGCTTTGTGAGTGAGCTTGGGGGTGAGGGTGAGCTAGGCCTGGGGGGACCAATGTCCCCACCTGTGCCCCCTGCACTTCCCAATGCGGCTGTGTCTGTCTTGGAAGAGCCACAGAACCGAACCACAGCTTACAGCCTGGAGCATGCAGATCTGGGTGCTGGCTACTACCGCAAGTATTTCTACGGCAAAGGTGAGGGGCAGGCAGGCCTAGGGAGAGGCAGGAAGGGGTCTGGGGCAGAGGTGCTTGTCACCTGTGGGGCACACAGCAGAGTACATGAGCTATTCTTTTCCTGTAAGGTCCCTGGCTATAGGAAGAAGCTGAGCCAGGCTGACCCAAGCTGATGGGCCTACTCTTACCACCTCTTAAAGGTCAAGCCCTGGCCATTCTCCTGCAGCCAGGGCTGGGTGTCCTGCCTCTTTTGGGCTTATCCTCATAGACAGAAGATTTCCTGTGTGAAGGTGAAAACTCAGGCCTGAAAGCCCTGTACTAAGAAATCTTGTTCTCACCATCACAGTGAAAAGAGGGCCGAGGGCCTTGGAATGGAAACTATGAGTACACAGGTAGGGTTGGGCCACATCTAAGCTTGACAGCAGCCGAGTTGGCCTCCTGGACTAGGGATAAGGTGTAATGGGATGGGGCCACAGAGAGGTGAGACTTAGCTGGGGTCTCTACTGGTTGAGATGGGCTGAGGGACAGCCTCGGCAGTGGGCTCCTGAGGGTGAAAACCACCTCCCCCCCCCTTAGACCATCAGAACTTCTTTGGGGTTGATGACGAGCTGGGCCCAGTGGCAGTGAGCCTACAGCGGGAAGAGAAGGAGGGGAGCGGAGGGGGCACCTTGCACAGCTACCGGGTCATCATTCGTACTACACAGGTGGGTCAGGGCCTTGGGATAAAGCCATGGGTTCCCTCCTCTGCACACCATACAAATCCCAAGTGCCACTCCACCTCTTTCTCAGCTCCGGACCCTCCGAGGCACCATCTCAGAGGATGCATTGCCCCCAGGACCCCCCCGTGGCCTGTCCCCAAGGAAACTTCTAGAATATGTGGCACCCAGGCTGAGCCCATCGTGCCTGCGTCTGGGCTCAGCATCCCCCAAGGTTCCACGCACGCTACTTACTCTGGACGAACAAGTGGTGAGTGGCCAGGAGAAAAGGGAAGTATAAACTGAGCCTGGCAGCACCCAGGCCCCCCAGCCCTGCCCTGATGCTGGCCAGGGCAGTGGCCTCAGAGAACAGTTCTCCCTCAGCGTATGAGGCTGAGCATCAGAGGGAAGGCCTAGAAGCTGCAGCATCGGAGGGCTTGCTAGAAATGCACATGCTGAGGTTCTAACCTCCCCATACCTCGACTAAATCAGAGCTGCATTTTAAAGACTCCCAAGGTGGTGCTATATAGCTCACAACCCTGAGTCCAGTTCTCCTGCAGTTCCTTTGTTCCTGGCCAATTTGCTTCACAGGCCTTACTTAGTCTCGCCTCACTGTGGGTTGCTCAACTCTTTCCAAAGTTGCCCACTGCCTTTGACTCTTCTGTGGCATTCAATCCATCAGTCATTCAACAAACATATCTCATATCCTCTTGGTGTCAGGGCCCTAACTGGACTGGTCCAGACTAAGTGATTTCCTGGAGTGCTTCACAGCTGGGTATGGGACAGGAACCCATGGAGAGCCGTGGAAACAGGAGCAGGAGATCAGAGAAAGGGGATGTGATAGGTTCTGTGGGACCCAGAGGTGGTGCTGACAGCCTAACAGCCTTTCCTGGGGGAAGGTTTCGCCCCATGGAGGAAATGCAAGAGCTTAAGTCAGGATGAGAGCATGTTTTCCGGGTAGACGGGGTTGAGCAAGGCTTTCTGGCTGAAACAGCAGCTGGTGTGATGGTGTTGTGTCATGCGCACTTCAGAATGGGTGGAGGGGGACAGGGAGAGGCCTGCTTTTGGTCCCCTGGGCACTGGGGAGCCGTGGAAAGATTCACAACACATCTGACTCCAGCATGAGGACTAGGCTGGAGGGGCAGAGACCAGACTGAAGGCTGTTGCTTTTTTTCTGGCTAGAAGTAGTGACTAAGAGGTGACAGTCCAGGAGTAGAATGGCTATTCCTTGTGAATGACTGAAATATGGGGGGGGAGGGCTGAGATCCCCTGGCTTCTTGGCCCAGGGAAGTGGTGTTTTATAGGCCTTGAAGGAGGTACTTGGAGTGGGGAGAGGCAGAAACAGGAAAGCCCAGCAAAAACATGAGGTGCTGCACTGCTGAAAGGGCACCTGGGCAGTTGGGGAAATGGGCCTGGAGTTTGGGAGAAGGGTCTGAGCCACAGGCAGAGATACAGTGTTTTCCTCTAGAAGTGTTTCCTGCAGGCACTGAGGGGACAAGCTCAGGAAAAGAAGAGGTCCAGGCAAGGTGAGGGTCCAGCTCTCCTCAGTGCTGACTGTGGCCAAGAAGCTACCAAGATGAGGCAGCATCCATGAGCTGTCATGTAGTCAGGGTTGTTACTTCTCGTGGTACAAAGAAGTGAACCCTGGGCCTTTGCACAGAAATTACATCCCTTTTTTAGACAGAGACTTGCTGAGTTAGCAGATAGAACTCAAACTTTATTTTCTTGCCTCAGTTTACCAGAGTACTGTGATTACAGACAAGCATCACTACCCTGTCATGAATTTCTTTTGTGGTACAAGGGGGTGGAACCCAGGTTCTCACAAAGGCTAGACAAACACTCTGCTGCTGAGCTTCTGAACATGGGAGGGGGGGTATCATAGGTTGCTATAATGGCATCAGAGTGTCGTAAACTGCAGGGTCCTGTGCAGAAGGGAAGGGGCTGAAGCAGTGTGTAGAAATGGGAGCAGGGTTAGGCAGAGAGGGCTCAAGACCTTAGGAGCTGGGGGTGGAGGCACCTAGGACTTGAAGAGGTTTGGCAGTGTAGCCTTGAGATGAGTCCTTTGTAAGAATCACCTCATCTATTGTCACTGGAGAACCACCCTCCTCCCATCCCTTCCCACTTGTGACCTCACCAGTGCTCCTGAGCTCTAGGAGCAGGACAGACTGTACCTATGTGATTGTCAAGGACACCAGGTGGCTCAGAGAGGGCCATGGTTCAAGGCAACACACTGACCATTTCCCCAAGATGCAGTAGAGGTGAGGCTGGGGGAGACTGAAGCCTAAGATATCTGCTAACCTTCTCTAGCTGAGCTTCCAGCGCAAGGTCGGCATCCTGTACTGCCGCTCCGGCCAGGGCTCGGAGGAGGAGATGTACAACAACGAGGAGGCAGGAGTGGCCTTCATGCAGTTCCTAACCTTGCTGGGTGATGTGGTGCGGCTCAAAGGCTTTGACAGCTACCGGGCGCAGCTGGACACCAAAAGTGAGGTGCAGGGCACTGGAGGGGCAGGGGTGGTCCCACATGAGGGACAAAATGACCACCTTGACACTCCTTTGTCCATATTGGCCAAAGGCTGAAGCTGAGTTCTAGAGTTCCTTGGGTAGGTAGCCAGGTGGTGGGCTGGGAGGAGAAGCTGGAACTGTCCCCCAGAATCTGCTATCCTACCACCTGAGCTGCAGCCAGAGGGTTTAGGGGCACTATCCCCTCCATCTGACACATCCTAGAAGCCTGGCCTCTGGGCAGGTGCCCAACTTCCCTGGGTGTTAGGCCCCAAAGTACCTGGCTGCCTTCCACTCGCTAATATGCCCCACCTGCTCATGCCAACATCCATCCTTTCCTGGGACACTCACCTCCTGCCTTCCTCTGAGCCCATTTCTTACTGTCACCACTACTTCCCTTCTCCCTGGTATGAGGCAACAGCCTGCAGGAAAAAAAGAGAGCAGCCAAGGCTGAGGCCCTTAGACATGGTGGCCTGGGCTTTGGCCAGTAGTATGAAGGGGTCATCTCCTTACTAGCTGAGGCATGGAGGCTCCAGAGTGGGACCTGGAGCAGGAAGTTCAAGTCACTCAGATTCCCTTAGCTGTCTCTCTGTGTCCCTGACTCCCTGGCCACAGCGGATTCTACAGGCACACACTCCCTCTACACCATGTACCAGGACCACGAGATCATGTTCCACGTCTCCACGATGCTACCTTATACCCCGAATAACCAGCAGCAGGTGTGAGGGGCTAGAACGGGGCTGGGGAGTGGCCAGGTGCTTCTGGGGATCCATGGAGGGTGCTGTGAGGGTGGTGATCTTTGAACCTTGGCCTGAGGTCTGCTGACCCCAACAACCCAGTGGCAGCTTCCCAGACAAAATCTCAGGGCTTTACCAGGAGGGGTGGGGAAGCCACTGGTGCCAAGATTTTCCCTTGTCCAAATGAGGAGGGTTTCAAGGAATCATGCAGCCCCTCTAACACCCTTCACCATGTAATCCCCAGCTCCTGAGGAAGCGCCACATTGGCAATGACATTGTGACCATCGTGTTCCAGGAGCCTGGCAGCAAGCCCTTCTGCCCCACCACCATCCGCTCCCATTTCCAGCATGTATTCATTGTGGTGCGGGCACATGCACCCTGCACCCCACACACCTCGTACAGGTGGGGGCCAGGGTAGCCCTAGATCTCCTATGGGTACCGAGTCCTAGACCTGCCCCGCCGTCCCTCATGGAGCCTTCCTCCACGCAGGGTGGCTGTGAGCCGCACTCAGGACACTCCAGCCTTCGGGCCAGCTCTGCCCCCTGGAGGAGGCCCATTTGCAGCCAACGCTGACTTCCGGGCCTTCCTGCTGGCCAAGGCGCTCAATGGTGAGCAGGCAGCGGGACATGCACGCCAGTTCCACGCCATGGCCACGCGCACGCGCCAGCAGTACCTACAGGACCTGGCCAACAATGAGGTGACCACCACATCATTGGACTCAGCCTCACGTTTTGGCCTGCCCTCCCTGGGTGGCAGGCGCCGAGCGACCCCTCGGGGCCCGGGCTGCGAGCTGCAGGCAGCAGGCGCGTTGACCTGGGGCGTGCGCGCAGCACTGGGGACGCGGGTCGCAGCAGGAGCCGGAGGGGGAGGCCCAGAAGGTGCTGAGGTGCCTTGTCTGTTGGGCATCTCAGCGGAGACGCTGGTGCTGGTGGCACCACGCGATGGACGTGTAGTCTTCAACTGTGCCTGTCGCGACGTGTTGGCTTGGACCTTCTCGGAGCAGCAGCTCGACCTGTACCATGGTCGTGGGGAGGCAATTACACTTCGGTTCGACGGGGCCCCTGGCCAAGCAGTGGGCGAGGTGGTCACACGCCTGCAGGTGAGTGGAGCGGAGGAAGGAGTCTGTGGTGTTTTTGCACCCCTGGCGGTAGCCAGCATTGGAGCCACAGCCTCTGCAAAACCGCTCCGTGGAGGGGAGTAGGGGATGGACCGAGCTAGCCTTGAGGCCTGACAAAACTGCCACAGGGCCTCAGGCAGGCGACCCTGGGTCATGTCGGGTGTTGGGTGTGTCACTGGTCCAGTTGGAGAGAGGCCCAGAAGGTGGCTGGGGCGTCCCCACCACACAAAAATCACAACCCCACCCCCGCAGTTGGTGAGCCGTGGCTGCGAGACCCGCGAGCTGGCACCACCCCGCGACGGCCAGGGTCGCCTGGGCTTTGAGGTGGACGTCGAGGGCTTCATCACACACGTGGAGCGCTTCACTTTTGCAGAGAAGGCCGGGCTGCGGCCTGGTGCGCGACTGCTGCGTGTGTGTGGCCGGACATTGCCCAGCCTCGGCCCTGAGGCCACTGCCCAGCTTCTGCGCTCTGCATCCAAGGTCTGCGTCACCGTTCTGCCCCCTGAAGAGAGCGGCCGGCCCCGCAGGTCAGGGCGCTGGGGACGTGGGGAAATGGGAGGGCCCGGATTCACCTGTAGATGCTTTTTCTTCTTTTCAAAATCCCATGTCTTGACCTCTCTGAACTGCACTTTGCCATAGAATAGAACCAGTTAAGAATATTGTTCTCACTGCAAGAAAGAAAGAGAGCTAACCCTCACTTTTTTTTCTTTTCTTTTGAGGTGGGGGACAGGGTCTCACTATGTAATTTAGGCTGGTCTCACTCGCAGCACTCCTCTTGCCTCGGCCTCTGAAGTGCTGGGATTAGAGAAATGGACAATCATGTCCAGCTAACCCTCATTCTTAAAATTTTAACACACACACACACACACACACACACACACACACACACAATCAATTATTTACTATGCTAAGGTAGATATAGGCAAACTTTGTGAAGGGCCAGACAGTGGATATTTTAGGCTATCTTTATCTCTGCTGCAGCTACTCAACTCTTGCTATAGGTGAATGAATTGAATGTTGTCAAATTCCACTAAAATTTTATAGGGCCCGGGGATATAGCGCAGTGGCATAAGCGCCTGCTTGGCAAGTGCCAGGTTCTGAGTTTGATCCCTGGTACCACCAAAAAATAAAAGTTTATAGACACTGGATATTCCTCAGCCAGGTATGGTGGTACAGACATTCTGGAAGGCTGAAGCAGGAAGATTATAAGTTTGAGCCCAGCCTGGGTAATTTATCAACTTACTTAATGAGACCATGTTTCAAAGAATTAACTGGGCAAGGTGGCCCACACTTGTATTCCTAGCACTTAGGAGGCTAAGGTAAGATTGTTGTGACTTAAAAGCCAGCCTAAACTGCAGAGTGAGACTCTGTCTCAAAAAATAATATTTAAAAATTTAAAAAAAATTACAGGGGCTGGAGAGATGGCTCAGTGGTCTAAAGCACCTACTTGAAACAAGCTTGGCAAAGCACAGGGACCATGGTTCAATCCCCCAGCACCACATGCCAGCCAGCCCCACCCTCTGGTGGGCTGAGCTGGCCACACACACAACAAATAAATGTAATAAATAAAAATAAATAAATAAATTTAAAAAAAAATTACAGGGTTGGGGAGGTAGCTTGGAGGTCTAAGCACCTGTTTGGCAAGTGCAAGGACCCAGGCTTGATTCCCGGTACCGCCTGCTGTGCTGGCCTTGGCATACCATGCCAGCCACCAAAACTGGATGTGGTGGCTGATACCTGTAATCCCAGCACTGGGGAGGCTGAGACAGGAGAATCACTTCGAGTCCGAGCTGCATAGTGAGAGCCTACACCAAATAAATAAATAGGACTGGAGATGTAGCTCAGTATGAAGGCCTATATTCATCTCTCACTTGATGAATAGGTTACTAATGATAAACCTATACTGAGGTCCAAAAATTGCAAATTGAACCACGCTGTCTGGACAGACTATAATTTTTACTTGTCATGACATATTTAGTTGAATATTTCTTTCAACTATTTAAACATCTAAAAACCATTCTTGGCTGGCAAGTTACAAAAATAGGCACACATGCTTAAAGAAAGAAAATAAAAAGGCTGGATTTTGTTCCAAGGAGAAGATTCTGGATGCCAAGTGGTTTTTTTTTTTTTTTTAATTTTATTTATTTATTTATTTATGTGTGTGTGTGTGTGTGTGGCCAGCTCAGCCCACCAGGGGGCGGGGCTGGCTGGCATGTGGTGCTGGGGATTGAACCGCGGTCCCTGTGCTTTGCTAAGCTTGTTCTAAGTAGGTGTTTTAGACCACTGAGCCATCTCACCAGCCCCACCAAGTGGTTTAATTCCGTGTCTTACTTAAGCTCTCCCAGAGTGCTACGAGACTCACTTTTCAGAGTCATTTGTCCAGAATACACAAGACAACACTGGGATTTGAACCCAGGTCTGAAAAAAATGGCGACTTTCCAGTTCCACGTTTTCCATTGCTATCAGGACATCTGGAAAGCTTGCATCCTATAGCTGCAGCTAAGGATTGGGCCCGTGACACAGGACATGGACTGGAGAGCCCTGCCCAACACTGCCCCTCCCCTATCCCTAGGAGCTTCTCGGAGCTGTACCAGCTGTCTCTGCAAGAGCCCAGCCGGCGGGGGGCCCCAGAGCCAGTGCAGGACGAGACCCTGGAGGTGGTCCTGCAGCCCATCACAAAGCAGCTGCTGCGCCTGTGCCTACAAGATGGAGCTGGTTCTCCGGGGCCTGGGGATCTGGCTGAGGAGAGGACTGAGTTCCTGCACAGCCAGAACTCTCCACCATCACCCCGCAGGTGTGCTCCCCTGGTCTTCCCTTCCCAGCCCACTCAGTGGGGTCTGGATGGGGAGGTCCCTGGAAAGCAGTTTCTTTTCTGAGCCAGCCCCACTGTCCCCAGCTCCCTGTCAGATGAGGCCCCAGTCCTCCCCAATACTACTCCGGACCTCCTCCTGGCCACCACTGTCAAGCCGGCAGAAGCTGGTACTGGCAGGGAAATGCTGCCTTCTCAGGTGAGCAGAAACAAGGCTCTGAAGATCAGCAGGACAGAGGTTACAGTGGGTGTCACTGCACTGATATTTCATGTTTTGCCTCCCAGGAACAGCCAGGCAGCCCCCCTGACCATAAAGACAAGGGCAACCCGGCCCCAGAACTAAGGGCTTCCTTCCTGCCACGGACTTTGTCTCTGCGGAACTCCATCAGCAAGAGTGAGTACAGAACCAGGGATGTGAGAGGGGTCTCTGGGGCTCCCCCCTGAGCCTGCCTTCTGCTGCCCTCAGTCATGTCAGAGGCTAGCAGTGAAACGCTGGAGGATGAGTGGCAGTCCATCTCGGAGATCGCCTCCACCTGCAACACCATTCTGGAGTCACTGTCCCGGGAGGGTGAGCCAGCAGGACCCTATTGGGAGCTAGGATGGGATTTCTGCTCCTTCTCAGACCTGCCCTCATGGTCCCTTTGTCCTGTAGGCCAGCCCATCCTGGAGAGCGGAGATGCCAAGGGAATGCCAAAGACTGATGCTGAGTAAGGCTCCCTGCCCTATGTAGCCCCTCTCCATGCCTCTGTACCCAACCTTGGTCCCCATCCACTGGACTTAAGCATCACCCTGGCCTGGTATCCACAGACACCTGGCTCAGACCACAGGGGATGGGGCTCCCATTTAGGGGCCAGCCCATGGCCCTTGGCTTGGTTCCACTGAGTTCTGATCCCATGCCCTCAGGCCAGAACCTGGAAGCCTGTCAGAGAAGGTTTCTCACCTGGAAGCTATGCTCAGGAAGCTGCAGGAGGACCTGAAGAAGGTGAGGAGATGATCTGGGGCCCATGAGGAGTCCAAGGGCTGCTCCAGGAAAGGGGCAGCTTCTGATGCTGTCCTCCCTCCCCAGGAGAAAGCAGACAGGGCAGCCTTGGAGGAAGAGGTACGGAGTCTACGGCACAACAACCAGAGGCTGCTGGCTGAGTCAGAAAGCGCAGCCACCCGCTTGCTCCTGGCCTCCAAGCAGTTGGGCTCAGCTACCACTGACCTGGCCTGAGGCCACCTGGTCCAGCCTCAGCAAGATACAGACCTGCTTGGAACTGCCTGAGCCCTTAGGGCACCTGGGTCTCACCAGCCAGGGCCCTCATCAGGATCTCTCACTGCGCTGACGCGCATCTTAGCACTGTTCCCATTCCCCAATCCATTTGGTGGCAAAGGTGCCCCACTTGTCCTTGTTTGTAAATATTCTGTGGAGAAATTTTTTTTTTTGTTTTTTTGAGATACAAACTCATAATCCTCCTGCCTCAGTGTCCTAAGTGCTGAAATTACAGGTGTGTGTCACCACACCCAGCTCAGAAGCCACTGTATTTCTGTCAGTGCATGTATTCAAGACATGCTGGTGGAGGGGTGTTTTCACAGAGGCCATACAAAATTCCCTGGATGGGTTAGAAGCACAGGCCCTTGGCTGCAGGTTGGCCTGACATGACAGCATCTCCAAGGCTAGGCTGTCCCTTGGCTTCTTTCCCACAAACATTTGTTTGGTTCCATTGGGAAGCAGGTTCCACACCTGCTCTGCTGTCAGGTCCAAAACCACATCTTAGGGCTTAGATCAGAGGTAAAGTCAGGTGAATCTGCAGGCCAGGGGAAGGACACGCCTGCAGGTCTGGGGAAGCCTATCTTCCAGGCAGCTCTAGTCTCCTTTCTCTAGTTACCATACCCCCAAGCCTGGCACTCTTTCTGCTATCTGTCCACATCTTACAAGAGCACAGTTCCAAGGATGGCAGTTTCTTAGGACTCGTGGAGGACACTGCCCTTAACCCACTTTTCTGCTCAGCAGCCCATGCACCCTGATGTTCTGCATCAGGATGGGCATTCCCCTGAATGACATCAGCAGGTTCCAAACTTGGACCTTGCTGGAACCCTGTTTTCTAATCTGAAGCCTAGCCGGGGCAGTGATTTACCCAGCACCTCATGCTTGTCTAGTCCTTCTCATCTGCTTGACATTCTTCTAAGACCTAGGTCCTAGGGCTGGGGAGATAGCTCAGTAGAATAAGCACTTGCCTGGCAAGCACAAGGGCCTGAGTTCAATCCCTGGTTCTGCAAGGAAAAAAAAAAGACCTAGGTCCTAAGTTTAGACTGGAAGTAGGAGCTGGGCTCCGAGTGACAACTGGGCTGAGGAAGGCTTCATGGAGGAAGTAACATGAGGGCTGAGTTTTGAAGGTTGAAGAGGAAGGAGTTCACCAGTAAGATGTTAAAGACATCCGGTAGGACCTGGCTGGGCTTATTAAAGTGGAGTCAGGCACATACAGGATTCCAGAGTCAGGAAGGTTAGAAGTGGGCCACAGAAGGTTGTGAAGGGTCCTGGAAATCCTGCATCAGCAGTCCCTAGCAGGGTGGCTCACTTTTTCCTAGTCATAGACTGCAGTGAGCAGCCTTCATGGACACTAAGGAGGGAAGCTCCTGGTCACTCAGGGTGTGTCTGCAGAAAACTGGGACCTGGTCACATGGCTGATAGTAAAGAGTGACCTATGAGAGCTGGGTGTCAGAGCTCTCTGGCTGCAGTGAGCCAAAGAGAAAGAAAGCTGTAGTAGCAGCCCCAGAAGAAGGTAGTGATTTAAATGCAGTAATGATAATGATCATTGGGAGAAGTGAGATCTGTCAGGACTTCATAAGGACTGGATGTGAGCTGCAGAGAAGTGGCAGTCACAGTATTTTGGTTCCTGCCTGGGGCCCCTGGGGGCTGGCAGGGTGGCAGCTGAGACGGAGGAAAAAGGTGGAGGGGGTGATTTGGAAATGGTTGAAGGCACTGGGAACAGGGTTTAAGAAGCCAGTGGGCTGTGTGAAGGAGAAAGAGATGGGCTGAAGATAAAGGCTGATGAGTATGCTAGGAGAGGCTGCACAGCCTGTAATCTCAGCATTTGGGAGGCCGAGGCAGGAAGGCTAACGTGCATTCGAGGTCAGCCACAGTCAGTGCATTTAAAGCCAGCCTAACTATATAGTGAGGTAGTGCCTTTACAAAAGTTAAAACAGGGCCGGGGGAATGGCTCAGTAGAATAAACACTTCCCTGGCAAGTGCAAGGCTCTGAGTTCAATCCCCAGTTCCGCCAAAAAAAAAAACAGAAAAACAAGAAAAGACTCATGAACTATGAACCATGAACATGATGAGGTCACTCAGGGAGTGTGGGAAGGGCCTCCAGAGGTCACTGTAAAGCACTGGGACAGCCAAGAAGAGCTCGGCACTGCCTAGACCGGAGCATCGGGACGCACTCCTTTACCTGGACCTCAGCCGAGAGCTTGTGGGCGGCCTCGAGGGATCAGAAACCTCTGCACCCGCCGAGTTCCACCAGCCCCAGCGCGCGGCTCTGGCTAACCCCGCCTCGCTATGCTCTGCGCTACAGATTCGCCCGGATCCTAACCCTAAGACCCAGCCAACGCCCGCTTGAGCTCCCCCTCCTGCGCTGGTGTTCACCTTATCCTGCTCCCTAAGTGGCTCAGCCACCTTGCTTTAGGCGCCGCCTCAGTTCACCTCTTCACTCTGACACGCGATTTTTGCTGTTGTTAGTACTGAGGCTCGAACCCGGAACCTTCGCACTTGGGAGGCCGAGCTTCTCCTAGCATTTCTATGCTCACTCCCCACCCCCTTTTTAAGACAGTCTCGTCAAGTGTTAAACTGCCCAAGCTGGGCTGGAATTTGAAATCCTGTCACAACCACCCAGAGGGTTGGGGGGTCACAGGCGTGTACAGCCTTGCCTGGTTCAAAGTTATCCCCAGACCCTTTTCGATTCATCAACTTTCTGCACCTTGCTAGCATTTTCTCTCAGAGCCGCTGTCCATCGATGTCTGTACATGACGCCTTTTCCTGGGCACTCGCTAACATTTGCAGCACATTCCACTAACGTTAATCCGCATATCCCCGGCATCACCTTGCCGCAATGGTGCAAAGCCCCGAATACAAACGCCTTAGGTCTCAGCCTGCTAGTATAGCCGAGTGCGTTATCCGGCCGCGTCTGAGCTCAATGTTATCAATGCGCATGCGCGCCCAAGGACCCCAGCAGGCACCATTTCTCGTTGCGCTTGCGCGCAACTAAGCCGGAAATAGCGCCTCTCTAGCCCAAGGTCTGTGGCCTGGTCTTTGTTTAGGACTCGTAAACAGATTATGAGTTAGGGTTTCATCGCTCCTCCCCAAACAGGATATCAAAGCACTGGTGGAGCAGGCATAGCCCTTTCTCCAACAGAAGCAAACAACCTCTCCTTAAACTGTTTAGCACAATCTTATTTACAGTCTGGCCCCGACATTGGTCTGTCGTACCCACTACCCTCCAAACACTGGCTAGGCCCTCTGTGAAATCCATCATCTGCTAATCTTAGACCTGGAACAAACAGCCTTCGTGAAGATGCTTGAAACCGCTCCATCCCTACAGGTAGTGGGGCTCTGCTGGGCTTTGTGGGGTCACTTCCGCCTTAGCTGCCTCTTTACAGCCATTAGACAGTAACCTAGGGGTTCTAGGGGCTGCCTCAGACCACAGGTTCCCAGACAGCCGCGTACATACTCACTCAACTCAGCATACAGACCCCCAGCCTGACATGACAGGCAAAGTACACTGCTGAAAGAAGGCAGATCTCTGGCCAGCTTGGTAACATTTATTAGTTCAAAGTGGAAAGAGCATGAGTTAAACTCCTTTGAAAACTGGCTCTTGATAGGAGAGTTTCCAGCCTGCCCTCTCTCTTCCCAACAATTCACTCTGCTATGAAGGCACTTGAGAAAAGGGGGAGCAGGGAAGTTCAGGCCAAACTCCTGAGGGCCGGTTTGGTCCCACCCCTTCCCTTCAGCCACAGCTGAGCAAAGAGTGAGCTGGCAAAGACCTCCACAGGGCAGAAGGCTAGCCATTCCCTCAAGCAGTGGTGTCAGACAGCACCACAGAGGGGTTGGCCATAGGGGCACGATTTATATCAAGGTGTAGGCTAACCTGTGACAGAAGGAAGACACTTGATAGTAAGGCTTTGGCCTCAAGAGGCCATGGCTCCAGCCTTTCCCTCTCTCTAGAAGAGTGCTAGAAGCTGAAGGAAGGGGATGGGGGCACCCAGAGATCCCTACAGAGAAGGGAGCTGAGCATTAGGTTAGGGGAAGAATGAGTCCTCCTAGCTCCCCACTTCCAGAGAAGTTAATGCTTCGCTTAAGCACCTCCAAAAAGAGATAGATATTGCTAATAAAAGAATAAAATGTGCTCCCCAGAAAAACATCACCCAAGGATGTTGGGAACAGCTGGAGCATGCCCCCCAGAATCCGTAAATGCTTTGGGAGGGCTTCAGTCCCCTGCAACCTGATGTTCTGGGCAGGGTTTGTGCCACCCGCTTAGGAGCTGATCTGGCTCAGAAGGGCTGAAAAGTCCATGTCCACAATGGAGGAGAAGTCTTCATCCCCCGAGAGGCCATTGGGGAGCCCTGAAGCTCCCAGGGAGGTGGGAGCCGGGTCAGGGGGTCTCTGGGACCCTGTCACCAGGCGAGTTATGGCCTCAGGGTACTCCATCAGCATGGGCTCAACTGTGGGGTGGGGCATAGATACACCTTGGTTCAGCAGCTGCTGAAACTCCGAGTTGTCGACAGATGCCAGGTCTGTGAACACAGCTGGGTCTGTGCTGTTGCCAAGCAGGGACCCCAGGTCTTCATCAGCATCGAACTGGAGATGCAGTAGGGCCTCTGAAAGCGTGCCTTCTCCCGTCTGAGTGGTCTTTGGGGCAGGTGGGGCCACAGCCTGGGGAGGGCACGGGGGTAGGACTGGAACAGGGGCTGGGGCCAGAGCTGATGCCATGGCTGGGGCAGGGACCAGGTTCTGGGATAGGACAGAAGCAGAGGCTGGTGTTAAGGCTGAGGCCTGGCTTGGGATCTGCCCAGAAGGTAAGACCATGGGTGGAAACTCATCAAAGTTGATGGTGCTGAGGTGTGGTGTAAAAGCATAGGGTTGGGGGCCTGGAGGAGACAAAAGGCAGGAGTCAGAGCAAGAGAGTCCCACCCCATCCCCCTGCACCCCAAACACTCCCTAGAAGCCACTGCCAACACTCAAGCTCCTTGTTTTAGGCCCATTCTAGCAACGTTTCCTTTCTAGAGCTCTTCCTGACTCCTGGAGCCTCAAAAGCTCACATTTTACAGGTGAAAACAAAAAGGGACAAGCCCATGGAGCAACCAGTGAAAGTGGCCTAGAGTGGGCACTAGTCACCTCTTTTTTTTTTTAACTTTTTTTTTTTTTTAACATTTTTTATTTGTGTGTGTGTGTGTGTGTGTGTGTGTGGCCAGCTCAGCCCACCAGGGGACGAGGCTGGCTGGCAGGTGGTGCTGGGGGATAG